TTGTTTGCGAAGTGGGTCTGTCCTACGCAGCGATCGTTGGCTACAGGTCAGCCTTGTCCCCTGCCATAGAAAACTCTTTGGGGTCAAGTTTAGCCGATTGTCCCATTATTAGTAGACGGTTTACTGCTTTCCATAATCAGAGGCCCAAGGCCCGTTCAAGGGAACCGCCCGATTGGGACCTGTCGGTTGTTTTATCAGCTCTAAGCAGACCTCCCTTTGAGCCTCTCGTTTCAGCACCACTCAAGTTTTTGACATGGAAAACAGTCTTTCTACTGGCCCTCGCCTCAGGTAGGCGCCGGTCAGAGCTAGGCGCACTGTCCTTCGCGGACGGTTGTGTCGCCTTCATGGACGATCAAGTTGTACTGAAGACACGAATTGGGTTTCTCACCAAGAACCAAATCCCAGGACACAACTGTCAAATATTGTCGGTCCGGAGGATCAGGAGGAATTGCTTTTCTGTCCGGTTCGAGCGCTGAGTTGCTACGAGAACCGTACCAGGGTTTCCAGACGGGGAACCAAACACATGTTTTTGTGTTACGGTCCTGGCAAACAGGATAAGCCGACTTCCCCGACTTCCATCTCCAGGTGGATTACTGCGACTGTACTGGAGGTCTATAATACACTATCCTCCTCAACACAGACCTTGCAGAGACACCAAGTACGAGCACATGAGGTCCGTGCGATTGCTAACTCACTAGAGTTAGCGTCAGGTGCCCCCCTAAACACATTCTGAGAGCAGGCTTCTGGAGAACGCTGAACGTCTTCATCAACTACTACCTAAGAGACACCCAATCTATTGAGCAGGGTCTCTTCAGGTTAGGCCCCGTCGTAACAGGTCAGGCTTTGTTTACTGACCCAGCCCATACGACCGCAGGAGCCCCTGCGCTAAGGCGATAAGTCAGTCTCGCCATTCTTGCGGGCAGATTGTCTGTACCACTAGCACTCCCTGGAAGCTCCCAAGTTTCACTTCTTTCGACCTACGCCCTCATGCGAACTGTTTCGGTCCTACTTCTAGCTTATCACCCCCGAATTCGGCTTGGGTCTAGCTTTCTCGGGCGCACCGAACCCTGTCGCCACAGCAACATTGGTTTCTTGCTTCGGGGACAGCACAGGCAAGGTAAGACACCACCCTTCTTGGGTCTTAACTTAGGTTTTTTGAGTTTGTTTTCATCCCGGACTGGGAAAAGACTTTCATCATTCTTTTTTTTCTGTTTGCTGGGAAAACCCACCACCTATCGGTGTGTGACTCTGCCTACAGTTAAAAAT